GTTGGGGGGCGTGGTCGGCGTGGGGGAAAGCAGCGCGACCATCCTATGTATTTGAATGACAAAAATGTCATATTGCGAGTCATTTATGCCTGCCGACCGGCAACGATACATTGCAAATTTAACTGTAATAGGTTATGATTGCCCTTATTTAATTAAAAACTGGGCCAATGACCCAACCAAATGGCCGGAGGTGTCGTTTCCAGACTATTATATCTGGTTGAATCTTCAGGTAAGACATCGCGGAAGCTACCGGCAACACAAGCCTGTAACTCAATCAACTTGCGTATAAGTTACTATAAGTCCATAAAACCATGTCACTTACCAATTGTACGTATGCTTCACTCCAAACTATTAATCCTTTTGTAAAACGGTGATCAAAGTAGTCGCTACGAAGTTGCAGAGGGACTTTGCTGACAGTTATCCGAATTCTCACAGACTGCAGTCTGATAACCTTCAGCTGATAACGCTAATAACATCCCTTATGAAAAACAACTAAAGGAATCTTGTAGTATTTTAGGACAAACTATTATAGTAACGTTAATCCTATAGGAATACTATAGTATTTTGGGACATAGCCTAGAAGTATAGGTATTAATGAACATCACAGAAGTATTATACACTACTATAGAATACTAATAGCCATAGGATTACTATAGTTCTTTTTCGTAAGGGACGTAACGTCAGACAAATCTGGCCCACTGCCTAATACGAGTTAAACATCTACTACTATATCACACAGGGACCTCTACTCACACAGTAATCTAATAAGATATGATTAATTTTGCCATTTTGTCCTCCTATCCGGTTCTGCATGTATGTAAGAAAGGCTGTAGAACTTCAATTTGTAATTTGTTAGTTTATTGGTGGTACAGAAAACGACACCGCAACCCTTCGGCATGATTGTCCCATGTATTTCAATGAGCGCCAAGGCAATGATTTCCCCCACGGGCTAAATTCACACCACGTGACGGGGCGTTCCCGGGGGCGTTCCCAGACCAACCGACTGTATCTATATGGAAAAAAAAGCTAAGCTTTACTATTCGGTTCAGTACAAACCCCTATTTTTAAGTTGAAAGACAGCAATTTGTTCTCACACTGTTTGTGCCTGGACATAGGCTATACTTCAAATTGTGCAGCTTATTAAGGGAAAAATGTGCTATTACTTTTCTAAGTGACCACTTATATTCTCGTTGGATAATGTACAAATATTTATAACGTGCATGTTATCAGCTGTTTAACAGTGGTACTGTGGTGTTTCAGTTTGAATTTGTTTTCGTCTGCAATTGCTTGTAGTGTCTTTAGTGGCCAATCCAGGGCATTTGTTTAAAAACGGTGTCTCAAGTGTTCACTTAGATTCCCATCTTCCCCCGTCTGTCTATTTATCTTTCCTTTTTTGGAGCATACAGACTTTGTTTTATCCTTCTATTTTAAGCAGTCTCTTCAGCTTTTCTCATGCGTCTCCTTATATTTTCTTCCTTCCTCCTTTCCGTTCTTTTGCAGCAATCAAAAAAATAAAAAAAAGAATTCCAAAGTCCAGACAGAATACAATATTAAATCCCTTCGTTTCCATTCAGTTCATAATTAATCTAGTCAGTGTGTTGTCTTTCTGTCCTCTGTTTCCTGAAAAGCCTCCCCACACCATTAGCAGATAGTGAGTTTTGCATTAGCAGTTTTAGTGAGCAGAATTATATCTGCCGAGGCCTCTGCCAGGAGGACGTTCCCTGCCAAAAAGTGCTCGGCGGCTAATGGCAATGACTGTTTTTTAGTTGATCGCATCTTGGAGGTTTTTCCTGCTGCGATCACTTCAGGTGTTGAAAAATGCGTGGCTGCATGCTAGGCTCATCGACTTCATGGGGTGCCAGAGTCTGTGTATCAGACAAACACATTTCATTAGAAATCATTCAGGTCTCTATTTGCGTGAGGTGATGCTTTACTTCTAAAAAATGTTTGGCTTGGCTCTTTAAATAAATGCTTGTCTGCTTTTGTCTATCTCGAGATGAGAATGTGAATTTTAAGGTGAAGTGTGCAATTTTAATCTTTTTATCTGGCCCAGTAAGCAACATTAGAGCGGGAATACCTGTTTGGATGAACAACAGTGAGATGGTCATTAACCACTTCAATAAAGTCAAATTTGGATTATTACATGGACTTTTCTGGTAAATGTTGTTTTAAACCTCTTTGACTTTCATTGACATTTCTTTTTTGTGTTCTGCAGAATTAAGAAAGTCTTACAGGTTTGGAAGAACTTGACGTGAGTAAGTGATGAAAAAATGTTCATGTCTCTACTTTAGGATGACCTCCTCGTTCTGTCAGGTTGAAAATTCATTTGGATCAAGTTTAATCATATCTATTTTTTTCAGATGCATGTGATCTTTCTTTTCAAATGGATCTATTAGTTGAATTACTAACTACTAAACATAGTGTTACTTGACTGACCCGATAATGTTTTTTGCTAGAATTTTCAATTGATGATGTTTCCAGGTAGGTCTCATGTGGACCTGCGATCTCTGAACAACAACAACATGGAAGTCTGGCAAAAGCTACTCATGTACCAGAGAAAGGGACTTTGGCATTCTGTAGAGACTTGGCCTGTGTGCATTCAGACAGAGAGAGAGAACAGGAAAAGAGAAGGGAGGGAAACAAGAGGGGCTGAGGAGGCACAAGTGGAATTTGCCTTAAAAAGGGTACGATTTAATAGTCCCACAGGGCACCCTGTCACCCCCTCCTCTCCATCTCTTATCCTTTTTTGAGAAAAGAAAAAATGTCCTTAGGAAAACTGAAAACATACAACATAAATGGTCTTAGAGAGGCAGATAGAGATAGAGAGCTTGACTCTAGGAGGCCTTATCAGGGTAAATCGTCTCTGAAGGGCCGATTCTGTTCACACAGGTTCTCAGTTACACAGCCGAAGCCCAGCAGCTACACATCAACGCTGCCAACTCGCATACCAGCTCAGCCCAAAGCCCTGCAGAGCTGCGGCTTCCCTTGCTGGTTGTTGTGGTCTGATATGCCATTTCATTTCCTGGTGAATAGCCTTGGTTTCAGCTGGCCTGCTCTAAAAGAATACTGGGAAAATATGCAAGGAAAAAATGAGTGAAATGGATGAGTGAAAGTCAAGAGAAGCATGAGAAATCCTTTTGAGGTTGGAAGAACTGTAAGAGTTGCATGTTCTGCACTGTGGCTCCTAGAGACAATGTATTTTGTTTCTTTGTCTTCATGTCTAAGCCATATTTTGATCATCTAATGACGTGGTGCAAACAATAGGGAAAAGAACAATTTCAGCTTCTAAAGAGAGTATTTTGAGTGTTTTTAAGTACTTTGATATGCAGTCACTAGGAGGTGTTCAGGGAGGTTGCTAAGTTATTACTTTGGTGGTATGGTGTTTTAGGGTTGTTACTAGGGCATTTCTAGGTAATTCTAGTGCATTACGGAGTGATTGCTGGAGTATTCTGGGTTATTAGGGCATTGCTAAGTGATTACTAGAGTGTTATGGGTGGTTGCTATGGCATTGCTAGAGTATTCTCGGTATTACTAAGTGATTACTAGAGTGTTATGGGTGGTTGCTACTGTATGGCATTACTAGAGTATTCTGGGTTAATAGGGCATTACCAAGTGATTACTAGAGTGTTATGGGTGGTTGCTATGGCATTACCGAGTATTCTTGGTTATTAGGGCATTGCTAAGTGATTACTAGAGTGTTATGGGTGGTTGCTATGGTGTTTTGCCAGAGTATTCTGGGTTATTAGGGCATTACTACGTGATTACTAGAGTGTTATGGGTGGTTGCTATGGCATTACTAGAGTATTCTTGGTTATTAGGGCATTTCTAAGTGATTACTAGAGTGTTATGGGTGGTTGCTATGGCATTACTAGAGTATTCTGGGTTATTAGGGCATTGCTAAGTGATTACTAGAGTGTTATGGGTGGTTGCTATGGCATTACTTGAGTATTCTTGGTTATTAGGGCATTACTAAGTGATTACTAGAGTGTTATGGGTGGTTGCTATGACATTACTAGAGTATTCTTGGTTATTAAGGCATTGCTAAGTGATTATTAGAGTGTTATGGGTGGTTGCTATGGCATCGCTAGAGTATTCTTGGTTATTAGGGCATTAATGAGTGATTACTAGAGTGTTATGAGTGGTTGTTATGGCATTGTTAGAGTATTCTGGGTTGATGGGCATTCGCTAAGTTATTACTCTGGTTGTCTGGTGGTTACTAGGGCATTGCTAATGTGTTTTGGGTGGTTGCTTGGCGATTGCTTGAGTCTTCTGGGTGGTTGCTAGTGTATTACTAGGTGATTGCTAGCTTATGAGGGTTATTTGGTCATTGCTAAGTGATTACTAGAGTGTTATGGGTGGTCCTATGGCATTGCTAGAGTATTCTGTGTTAATAGGGTGTTGGTAAGTGATTGCTTGGGTGATTTCTATGTCATTACTAGAATGTTATGAGTTGGTGCTACTTGCTAGGTCATTGCTTGGGTATTCTGGGTTAATAGGGCATTGCTAAGTGATTACTAGAGTATTATGTGTAGTTATTTGGGCGTTCTGTGTTAACAGGGTGTTGCTAGGCAATTGTGTTCTGGGTGGTTGCTAGGGAATTGCTAAGTAATTCTGGGTGGTTGCTAATGTGTATTAGTTGGGTGTTCCAAATCTCTGTATTCTGGTGTCTATATATGGCTCAGCCCCTCCTTTAATATACTGCACGTCAATCGGAATCTACATCTATTTTTCCCCATTTGATCGTAAATCGAATTCTTTAGAAGAGCACTAGCACACCTCTCCTCAACAAACTGCATGATTTGACACATCATTTGATGTTCTCCTGACACGAAAAATGAGCTATTAAGGAAGAAAAGTCAACATACGACTGTTTACAGTCTGAAAGACAGAGCACTTGAGCACAATGGTGTGTGTGTTTCTGGGAATAGTAGGGGGTGGGGGCTGATGTCCTCTAGATGTTGACTTGACGAGTTGTGTACATTTGGCTGACCGTACGCGTGCTGCTTTCAGAGTGCTAATAGGCTTTTGATTTAATAGGCATATTCTCACCTTTGTTTACGTTTGTGTGCTCACGAGAGACGGATGAGTGTGAACTGGCGAACATGTGTGTGTGTTTGAATGAGAGCCAGGAAAAGGGGAAGGGCCTCAAGTGAGCGGACAAAAACAGCTGCTCTTGTGTGCTCGGGAAACCTCATCCAGAGAGAGGGAAGAGAGGAGAGACGGACCAGAAGGGTCCAGATCTCTATATGGGTTGCGCCCTGTGTGCGGATAGCTGTGGGGACGAGCCAGATCCGGTACCCGTGAGAGGGTCTGTAAGGAGGGAGAGAGCAAAGTCCAGGGGAAACATGAGGCTGACCAAGGTGGGTACTTCTAAGTGATGAGTTCAGGGAACGTGTTTACATGTCGAATGATTGTGGTGAGTTTGTTGGTGTCATAAGGCTCAATTAAAAGTTTCGCAAGTTGTTGCAATGAGAGAAGACCACATCAAATGCTGTATATGTTGTGCGATTGCATGCTTGTTACACTTAGAGTGTCTAAAAGTGTCTTTTTGCTTGGTATTTTGGGTGGCCCCAAGAAAAAATAGCTCACTCCCAGGTGTTTTTAACATTTGTTGTGCTAGATATGACTTGATTGAACTCTGTGGGGTGTTTTTCGCCCATTTTATTCTGCACAATGTAAAAAAAATCAAAAGTAATAGCACACCTCTCCTCAAAAAGCAGCATGGTTTGAAGTACCCCCATAGCACAAGTAGTGTGGGATGAGTTACACGCTTAGGATTATGGGTCTGTACAGATCCCTGCGTCAGGATAAGCGTTTGTGTTCTGGAGAAACACTGTCTCCCTGATTGTTAACACTGACAAAGAAGGGCTGGAAAACTTGAGGAGTGCTTGATTGTGTGTTTACATGCCTGAGAGTGAAAGTCTGCGATGGTCTGGTCCCCGAGGCTAGTTCACGTGCAGTGCAGCGTGGGAACTTTGAGCTCTCTGTATGATGTCAGAAAGTTGTAGTTAATCCTGGGAATCATTAGATAACTCTCCCAGCATTTATTCAGCGATGACTCTTTCATATTTCACCACAGATCATAGCCATGCCACTCTGGGATTGCAAAAGAGTCCATGCACTGCCCTGTTGATATTTTAATAGCAAACTTGCATAAGGCTGTGGCGTACTTTGAATGCGTCCCCCTACTACTGTGACCATAATGTTTGTTTTTACAGACATTTTTCATTTTAATACAAGCCCAGTTCCTTTTCTTGTGCAGAGTGTAATAGTAATACTCCTAAATCAGTGCATGATCATGTCACATAGAAAAGGATTTTGGTCTGCTAATGAGACTATAATGAAACGCTACGTTATGCAACCATATAACCCATTTATGATGCTATCTATCTAACAAATCTGACATTCATCTAATGTTTTAAAGCCCCAGTGGAGCAACCAGGGTTTTGGTGTGAACAGCCCATGGTGATGCTTCATAGATCAATCCTTGCAGGATCTGAACTTATGACCCTTCAGATACTTAAAGGAGTAGTTCACTTTTAAAAAAACTTTTGCTGATAATTTACTCACCCCCATGTCATCCAAGATGTCCATGTCTTTCTTTCTTCAGTCGAAAAGAAATTAAGGTTTATGATGAAAACATTCCAGGATTTTCTCCATATAATGGACTTCAATGGGCACCAAACGGTTCAAGGTCCAAATGAGACTTTATCCGGCGATATCCGATATTCTTCCGATCCCATCACTCTTAACACACATCACAAGACAGGAAAATCTGAAAAGATAATCTGTAGAACCATCAAGATAATCGGGACTTTACCTAGGATTGTCGGAAGTGGAGAATTGGGCCCAAAATCTGCCTAATTATCTAGTGGTGTGTGGGTGCCTTAAGCTGCGTCCCATTTATTACTTACTCGTCACATCAAATCAATCATTTGTGCCCTTGCTCTAAATATTGCATTATTCGTTACCTGTGGCTATTTATTGTTTTTTTAGGGGGGGGGGGGGGGGGGGGGGGGGGGGTTTGTAAGATGGGCTTTAGCTTGTCAGAATCTCTCCCTCACTGAGCTGCTATTGTCTGAGTGTCACGAATACCAAGGTCTCATTCCTGTTTTTTTGAGTTGATTTGTTGTGTCATTCTTCTTTGTCTGTAAGGGAGAGCAATACTTCTGGATGGTCACTTTGCCATGGGACAGAACTTGTGTTTGGCGAATATGAACTTTGGTATATAAGTACCGTAAAGACATTTTCTCTTCACGTTTTTTTTATTTTTTATGTTTTATTATTACATTTTGTTTTTGTATTTATCATATTTTGCTTTGTTTTGTATTTTGTTTGTTTTAATTTATCTGTTTTATCTAGGTTTTTTGTTTGTTTGTTTGTTTGTTTGTTTGTTTTTGCTGGTTTTATCTGGTTTTATCTGGACCTAATTTTTCATTGTTTGTTTAATCTTTTGTTTTATTTTTTGTTTGTTTGGTTTTTTGCTGGTTTGAATTTTGTGAGTTTTATCTTGTTTTGTTTTGACATAATTTTCATTGTTTGTTTAATCTTTTGTTTTATCTTTTTTTTTTTGCTGGTTTAAATTTTGTGAGTTTTATCTGGTTTTGTCTTGACCTAATTTTTCATTGTTTTTATCTTTTGTTTTTGTTTGTTTGTTTTTTACTGGTTTGAATTTTGTGAGGTTTATCTTGTTTGGTTTTGACCTAATTTTTCATTTTTTTAAATCTTTTGTTTTATTTTTTCTATTTTTTTTCTATTTTTTTTATTTTTATTATCTATTGTGCTCTGTTTTGTATTTCATTTGTTTTATCTGGTTTTATTTTTTGCTAAATTTGGGAAACGCTCACTTACACTGATGCAGAGTCCTTGACTAACCAAATTAATTTAGTGATGAATTTTCGATTAAAAGCATTATTTCAGTCCAATGCTGCTAGTTCTAACCAGAAAACCGTTGTGCTTTAAGGCACATTTGAGTATTCGGTCTTCTCTGCAATCTAAAAACTTCTGTTGTTAAACAATGCTCTTTGTTTATCTTTGCTCATTGGGACTTATGGTATATTCCTAGAATATCCATGGAATGACAAAAACTTTAACAAGCGCTAGTTTACTGCAGCCATAATCCACAGGCATCCACTATAAACACCACACAGGAAAACGCCTGGTCAATGTATAAATAGGCTCTGTTTTTCCCACAGCGCAAGGAACACACACTCATGCATGCTGCTGGTATTAAACATATACATCAAAATGACTAAAATGTAAATATACAGAGACATAAACATGTTTTGCACATACATCTTAAATTATCAACAAAAACTATGCGGCTGGTTAAAGAGATGTGCAATTATTAAATTTCTGAGCAATTGGACTTTAAATTTAGCCAATAGAAAACACCCATAGCCAGAACAACCTAGTAACCGCATGGCAACATGTATTCAACCACTTGGAACACCTTACCAACCATTTTGGCAACACATTGGCTATACCCACAACACACTTGCACCATGGTAGTGGGTTTTGCACACAAACATTGTAATTCTGGAAGCAAAAATCAATCTAATTTTCTACTCTCTATGTTGCTACTGTATCACATTGCTTCATACTCAGATTGGGGCACACACCTCCAGTGTATCTATATTCTCAGAAGTAGATGGTCAGACATCAGGACGGGTGAGTTGTGAGAGGAGAGAAATCATGTGTGCAATGAGGAATGTGAACTGGAAATACTTGAAAGGAAAAGGAAAGCCATCCCTGTCCTTTTAGTGCCACTTCATCAAAGCGCCAGTGTGCTGGGGTCATAAAAACAGATCTCCAAAATCCCTCTGTTTGCTTTCCTTCACCGTTCGGAATACCGGCCTGACAGTCTGCGGAGTTTACGGAGTACTGTAAATGTTTTGGGAGCGAGTTGGGAAATGGGCAAAGAATGAGAAGAGGGATGTGATTCAGCGTTTCATAAAACTCATAAAAAAACAATCAGTGCACTACAAATCAGTTCTGCTAATAGGCATTTATGTCCCAGATTTTTTATGAAAGATGACAGCTTTTTTTGGTTGTTGTTGAAATATCAATTGGTTTACTGTTTTCAAATGACTTAATGCATAGATTGTGTTTCTAACCCCAGACAGTAAAATAATGTAATATTTGTATTCTGAACATTTTTCACAGAAATGTATTTATTCCCTCTATTGTGGTGTAATTTCCATCACAACTCCTTTTTTTTAACCCTTTAAAAAAATAATTACATTTTTAAAAGTATGACCAACACAAACTTAATTTGTATAATAATTTATGTCATTTGTTTCAAACGTCAAATTCCACATTAATCCCTCTGTTGTCAGCGTTTCCATCGTGACTTACCATTTTGTCTATTAAAGTTTTATCAAAAGTTGATATAATAACTTCCGTCTCATGTTTACCAATGAGACGGAAGTGCCAGTGAAGAGCTTCAGATTAAATATGAGAAGAAAACAGACGAAAAAATGTGCATCATTTCCAAACAAGCTGTGTTTGGTTAATTGATGCCAAAAAATATGCAAATATTGATCTGTATTTATTACATAAAATGGCGGAGGCTAATTTCGCATAAATATTCCACCACAGAATTCCATTAAACACAACATTATTTGATATGTGATGAAATGGACACTGTGGTGGAAATTAAATTTCTTTTTACAAATTAATTAATTAAATTAATGAATTCTTTACTTTGTTAGTGGACAAATAAGTTGTTTTTAAAAAAAAGTATTTTTATGAAAATTTCCTAAAAAGTCCTCAAAGTGGACCCATTCCTGTCCAGCTCCATGTTTTTCTGGAGTCTGCATGCTCTCGAGTCTTCATATCTCCCTCTACTCTACCCCCAACATTCAGTCCATCCTGCCTCAGTCTCTCTCTATTTCTCTCTCCCTCTCTCCATCATCTATTTCTTTCCCTCCCTCCACAGCTGTATTTAATCAACCTTTGGCTCTTTCGTACCCAGTCATTCCTCCACTCACCCCTCCCTCCTGTTTCTGCATGTTCTCATCTCTCTCTCTCTCTCTCTCTCTCTCTCTCTCTCTCTCTCTCTCTCTAAATATGTCCTCTCATTAGCTTAGCCAGGTGTTTCTAAATATCAAAGAACTTCTCGTGAGTGATTGTAGGTGTTGCGGTAACACAAGTCTCCTCTGTGCGGCAGAAACACGACTCCATTCAAACATGGTTCCACCTCCACAACATATAAAATCAGAGTAAATATTGCAAATGTAACCCCTCACACCCGGGTCCAACTCGACCCGGGCCTCGAACCCGGGTCTCCGGCATGAGAGACTGCAGCCTCTAGCGTCTGTCGCTAGAGCGCCTATTGAGATCGGGAAGTGAGGTTTAC